GGGTTGGGGTGGGTGGGAAGTTCTGATTTTACTACTTTTTTATTATTGTGATCTTTGTTAGTTTTATAAGATGAAGAACTATCAAATAAAAATTCTAAATCCAATTTGAAAAATGAAATCATTTGGCATGAATTGACATTTATTCCATAATATAAGATACTAATTTTTATATATGTTTGTTTAAAAGTTGAGAATATTGCAAAGATTTGAGTCAATTTGGGTGGGTTGGGTTACATCCCATTGTTTAGCCCATCTTGACCCAGCGCATCTTAACCCAAGTGAACTTTGGGCAGGGTTCGGAAATGACCCATTTAATGAGTCAGTCCGTCTTTACCAGCATAAATACAACCCAAACAACCCATTTGCCACCCCTAAGAACATCCATCTTAGCATCTCTATCGTTTTGTGGATATGTTGGACCTTTGAGGTCCAATATTCACTTTTATATAACATTGTTGGTTTCAGCCGTCCCACAACCGTTGTATAGAACTATCTTTCATTTTGCTTGGTATCTTCCTATAGCATAGTACTCTCATAGCACTCGTCCATTTCAGCTAATCCTATTTATAAATGTGCTACATCTTAATCTATTATGTTATCCTCCTGCAAGACTGAGCACACGTATTTGAATTATTCGCTTGTAACAATTATTAGGAGTGATTAATTTCTTTCTTGTTTTTTGTAAACTTTTGGTTTCAATTATCCACGATAGTAATTGAGAAGTTCTGCTTTTAGAAGGTCATCCGTTCTCTTTTGGAGGTCATATAACAACGAAAGTCACAATTTATTATTTCAGATTGTGACATTCTTTATTCTGGTTGAGCTGACCTTTTGATTTCTCTTTCCTTTTGAACTTTTTATTAGGCTGTGACATGACGAGTACGATGTCTGAGATACCTGTTGAAGTGGATCATCAGTGCACCAATGAGAAGTTTGGTTCTAATTTTGCATCGCTTTCATCTAATATTTGTTTAGATAGTAGTATCACCACAGGCGACAACAAATCTCAGTTTGCAATCTTGGTCACCTTCTCATATCCTATTCTGAAGAGTGCTATTTTGCACTTTAAAGTTTCAGATTCCATGAATTTACTCAAATTACAGATTAGAAATTCCAGTGTACAAACTTCTCATGATCAGGGGGAAAACAATTTCAGTGGCGGAACCATACCAAGCATTTCAAGTTCGGGTCCAGTTGAAGCGGCTTCAGTGGATTTAATTGGCAGTAAGAGTGGGTCTTACACTTGCGATTTTGCCATTGACCCTCTTTGGCCACTATGTATCTTCGAACTTCGGGGGAAATGCAACAATGATGAGTGTTCTTGGCAACATGTTAGAGACTACTCTTCTGGCAGTAGAATGAAGATGACATTGGATAACGATGGTATGGATATTCTGTTTGAAGTGTATACGACATCTTTATAGTTCCTTTTGACCTAACATATGATGCAAATTTTCATAACTTTTTTCTTCTGTAGACAAGGTTGGATCACCAACTGAAGGACAGATATTTGCTTCCACAAGAACTCTCACCAAGTCGCTTGACTGCCTTGGTTTGGCTCCCCCAACTTATTTGGTTGGCTTGGATGATCTGAAAGCTGATCTACAGTCATGTAAATCCATTCTAAGTCCCAAATACGGGCAACTGTGGGTTAAGTGCTTCAGTCTTTCCTTTGTTCTCTCAAATCAGCTACACACCGATCTGCCCTCTGATGAGCCTTTATTTCATGGCACTAATGCTCGTGTTGAGGTCCAAGGTGGTTGGAATAGGCAATCACTTTATTTTCAGAGCAGAAATGGATCACCGGTTCGTCAAATCAACCTGTTCTTTTCTCGTAATTAGTGGGGGTGGGTGAGGAAGAGGGAAGGAGACAAGGATGATTTTTAGCTTCTTATGTAACTCTTTCGGAAAAGCTAAATTTTAATTTTTTAATTTCAACTGTTATAGTTAGCATGCCTCTGAAATACCACTGAAGCTGCGGAAGTATTAATTTTAATTTCAATACACGAATCAAGAGAAATTATTTTGCATCTCCTTGGTGCTTCCAAAATGTCTTTGTTCATGAGAAAAATTTGGTGATTGTACGAACTTTGTAACTTAAATATGTTTTGGTTTTTTTGGGTAACAAATATGTTTTATTTCCTTTGGAACCTTTGTAATTATTAGTTGAGACAACTGAATCTGTTTAAAGAATGCAAATTTTGGGTTATTGGTTTTGTCCTTTTATATCATGCTACTAGGACCTTTCGTGTGACTCTTTCTAACTTCCCAATTCACTAGTCTGCTCTTTCCTTTCTTATGCCATTTTAGTCTTCAATGGTGGAATATCCCTTCTTGTTTCCTGTCCTTCTATATATTCGAGTTTGCTATGCAGCAAGCAAAGTTTTTCTCGACCTTCTGTTGAAGGCAGCGGTCTTGAGTTCAAGTCTCACCACCAACCATTACCGAAAAAGATTTTTTCATGTGGCCCATGAAAGAAATCAAGCCTGCACGTGAGGAGGCGTGTTGAAGATAAACTTAAGCTCTTAGATGAGATAGTCACACATTCAACACCTTCATGCTACCTCCCATGCATTTGGTCTTCATTCTTCTTCTTTTTTTCCTTTCTCCATTGACAGTATTGTGTAATTTCGTGGGGTTTCTTCCCTAATACTCCATCCGCTTCATTTTATGTGTCTTACTTTGACTGGGCACGAAGTTTAAGAATGTAAAGAAGACTTTTGAATCTCGTGGTCTTAAACTAAAGGTGTTATACATACCAAAAATACTCTTTTGAATCTGTGGTCTTAAACATGTCATGTCATTCCTTATGAAAGCCTTTCATTTTCTTCTCTTCGATGGAAGTTTGATTTTCCCAATGGAGTTGTTCTTTTCTCCACAAAACTTTGTACCACAGATAAATAGCTTCTGTCCTTCTTTTGCCACCTGCTGTCAATGCTGTAACTTACCTTCTAATGTCTTGCAGGATCCATGCAAGGAACTATCTACTGATGCTGACGAGATTGTAGAGATGGCTCTTCTTAATCTCGGTCAGGAGGCTAATAAACCCAAGGGAAGGATACAGGTATGTTTTGGTTGTGATTATGGGTTACATACTTGGAGGGTCAGTAATCTCACTCCTGTTAATTTTTGCTAAAACATGCAGGCTCTTGAACTCCTTGCTCGAGCTTTGGAAGCTAATCCAATGTCTGCAGTTCTCTGGATTGTTTACCTGTTAATTTACTATAGCAGTCAGAAGTCTATTGGGAAGGATGATATGTTCAAATGTGCGGTATGCAGTATTTCTACATGGAATTCTACTGTTAAAACAGAATATTTGAGTTGGCTCAAGATGTTTATACCATTTGGAAGTCTATGTGCTGAGAAACATTTGTACATAATTAGGGATAGGAACATGTTAGATAATTGGCTCTGGTGGTGCGCTATATATTTTGTTAATTGCATCTGAGAACGCCAGTTTGTTTTTATTCATTAAGGGCCCTGTGTCCATGTTATGTACTAGCCCTTAATCCTAATGGCTTGGGGTTCCTAAAAACTTGTCTTAAATCCGCTTCAGCCAAGGTCTTACTTTGACTTGTAAGTTTGTGTTTGATTCACGAAATTATCAACATATGTACTGATAAATCTTCTTGTTCTGTAATCCAGGTTGAGCACAGTGAAGGCTCTTACGAACTCTGGCTTTTCTATATCAATAGTCGAACACAGCTGGAGGAGAGGCTGGCTGCATATGATGCTGCACTGTTGGTCCTGTATCGCCATGCATCTGCATCTGACGTAACTGCCAGTGCCAGTGATTGTATATTGGATATATTCTTGCAGATGATGAGTTGTCTGTGCATGTCTGAGAATGTTGCTAAAGCCATTGAGAAAATCAATGAGCTATATCCCACAGAAGAGAAATCTGATAACCCACTCAAACCGTCTCTTCCTGATATCATTACATGTTTAACCATTTCTGATAAATGTATTTTCTGGCTCTGTTGTGTGTACTTGGTTGTGTACAGGAGACTTCCTGATGCTATTGTGCAGCAGTTTGAATATCAGAAAGAACTTTCTTCCATAGATTGGCCATCTGCTGAGTTGACCTCCGATGAGAAGCGACGAGGTGTCTCTTTGATGGAATTAGCGGTAGATTCTCTGGCATTGTACATCGACAGAGAGTCACTTGAAGATGAAGCAAATCTCAGGGCAGCACACCTGTTTTCTGTCAATCACGTTAGATGTATAGTGGTACTTGAGGGTATAGAATGTAGTCGGAATTTGTTAGAGAGATATGTCAAGTTGTATCCATCATGTCTAGAACTCGTTTTGATGTTAGCTCGGGCAGAGCATGATTTTGCAGATGGAAGTTTTGAAGGTTTTGAAGATGCTTTAGATAACTGGTATGATGAAGTTCCTGGAGCGCAATGTATTTGGAACCAATATGTTGAATGTGCACTCCAAGATTGTAAAAGAGATTTTGCGGAGGAATTAATGGCTCGATGGTTCCAGTCTTCATGGAAACACAGGTATTCTAAAAATAGTTGTCTGGAAACAGTAGATAGTGACAACTCCCGGTCTTCACCGCAGTCTGCTTCAGTATCTGATATTGCTGCTCTCTTTTCCAATTCTAGCAAGAACGATATTGTATTTGGGCTGCTGAACTGTTCCATCTATAAACTATTACAAAATGACTATACTGAAGCTCAATTAGCCATTGATAAGGCATTGGAGGCTGCTTCTCCTGAGAATTACAGTCACTGTGTGAGAGAGCATCTCCTGTTCTTGACTGCAGATAATTTGCACGATGATGGGCAAGTATTGAAACTTCTGTGTGGCTATTTGGCTGATAAACGTGCTTCCCTCACCTCTGAGCCATTATCCAGGCAATTCGTCCAAAGAATCAAGAAGCCTAGAGTCCGGCAGCTAGTTGGCAACTTGCTGTGTCCCGTGTCATTGAAGCCTTACATAGTGAACTCAGTTCTTGAAGCATGGTATGGCCCATCTCTCTTACCTGAAAAGAAAGATGAAGTCACTGATTTTGTTGACATGGTTGAGAGCTTAATGTTGGTGCTTCCTTCCAACTATCATCTGGCAATTACTGCCTGCAAGCAGTTAACCAGAACCTCAAATACTGCTAATGTACCGGGCAGCATCTCTTTTTGGGCAAGCTGTCTCTTGATAAGTGCATTATTTCAGGCTGTTCCTGTGGCACCAGAATATGTATGGGTAGAAGCTGCAGATATTTTGCAAGATCTTACAGGTTGTCGGTCCCCATCTGTCAAATTGCTGAAGAGAGCTCTTTCTATATATCCATTCTCTGTAATGCTTTGGAAGCCTTATCTCAAGTTGTCGGAGGCTGAAGGAAATTCAGAATCTGTAAAAGAAGCAGCAAGGGCAAAAGGCATTAAACTTGAGTGACAACTTGCTTTAACATCTTTTCTGAAGCAAATTTTGGGATAGCTTTTTGGTAGGGTAATGAATTGTGTAAATCTGAAGATAGATACAAATAGCAGCAGAAGACAACAGACCAGATCTGTGTAGAGAGCTAGAGAATTATATAGGATTTTATAAATGTATAGGAAATCATATAGGTACATTGCCAAAGATTTTTCTCAGGGTGAAGCCAATTTTGTTCAGATGCATTTTGTATGTTTAGTCTACCTGCACACTATACCCTAGTCCCACGCATTTTTTACTCTGCTAAATGCTTAAAATTTCTTGTTTATTTTTCATATGTTCTAAAATTGGTTTTGTAGCAACTCATAAAAACACCGTTATCATATTCTGGTTATCCTTGAAGAAACACCCCTTTTTAGTACAACAATAACCACTTTTTCATATAAAAAAAACTTTTTTCCTTTTAGAAAAATCATTTTACGGTTTTGTTGATGTTTCTTAACGAAGCAAAAATAATGAATACATCCTGACTTATAGTAGCTCACTCTTCAAACATGCTGACTAACAAATCTTGTCAAAACAATAAGAAAAATGAAAACAACTGCAAAAATCGGTTCGCACGTTAAGTTAAAAAAAAATGAGAAATTCCTAGGGCTGCAAAAATCGGTTCGCACGTTAAGTTAAAAAAAAATGAGAAATTCCTAGGGCTGCAAAAATCGGTTCGCACGTTAAGTTAAAAAAAAATGAGAAATTCCTAGGGCTGCAAAAATCGGTTCGCACGTTAAGTTAAAAAAAAATGAGAAATTCCTAGGGCTGCAAAAATCGGTTCGCACGTTAAGTTAAAAAAAAATGAGAAATTCCTAGGGCTGCAAAAATCGGTTCGCACGTTAAGTTAAAAAAAAATGAGAAATTCCTAGGGCTGCAAAAATCGGTTCGCACGTTAAGTTAAAAAAAAATGAGAAATTCCTAGGGCTGCAAAAATCGGTTCGCACGTTAAGTTAAAAAAAAATGAGAAATTCCTAGGGCCCAACCGGGTTCGAACCGGTGACCTCTTGATCTGCAGTCAAATGCTCTACCACTGAGCTATGGACCCCTTGTTGCTTCAGGCAATTAGAGAAATTAATTTTATTAACGATTTAAACTATTATATAAGCTTAAAATCATCAAAATAATTCTTTAGCATCGTGTTTTAATTTTTATTATTGGAGGAAAGTAAGGTAGAAATGTGTAATCACCCAAATGAAAACTGATGAGAAAGAATAAAATGTTCGCACATAGGCGCGAATGGACATTATTTGCATTAGGTGTATGCACTTATTTGCCTTATATTCAAATCATATATACTTATCTTAATTGAAGTACTTTTAATTAATTGTAATATTTATTTTAAATTTGCACTATATATTTTTCAAAACAATAGTGATGCAATGACAGTCGCTTATGATTTTGGATTCACTTAAACTTAATTATGCACTACATTGCCCTTTGTTTGGACACCAGGTAGTCTTAAAATCCCCAAGAGGGGTTGCTCTGATGGTAAGCAACCCTCATTTCCAACCGAGAGGTTATGAGTTCGAGTCTCCCCAAGAGCAAGGTGGAAAGTTTTTGGAGAGAAGGATGCCGGGGGTCTATTTGGAAGGATGCCGGGGGTCTATAGGGGTAAGGTCTGCGTACACACTACCCTCCCCAAACCCCACTAAGTGGGATTATACTGGGTTGTTGTTGTAGTCTTAAAATCACTTATCTTCAAATTTACTTTTATGATGACGGTATCTAAGTCAGTTTGTGTGTATCTCAATTAATTTACTCGGTACTTGCTACCTTACATCAGCACATATAATCAATAATTCTGTTCACCAAGGCACGGATGGAAAAAAAATTTTCGTCTCTGTTGGATTTTAGATCTTAGTTCCCCACGGTTTTCACCTATTTTATTGGCCGCTAACCACACCCTTAAATGCGCTCCCCAAACTTCCCGTATCATAGGCAAACAGATCCACAATATCAGAGATAAAGGGTAAGGTTTAATGATGTTTTACGAGAAAGACATAATCTACAGTTGCATATCACAATTTAATGGAATAAGTGCAAAGGTAAATCCAAGCTACAAAAACCACCTATGTAAGAGTAAATTTAGATACAAGAACATTATTTTACTCTTAGACAGAGAGAATAACATTTCAAGAATCTGGACACTCGAGTTTTGCCAAGTGGTAAGGCCTCATTGCCACGATACATGTTCTGATATAGACAAACTCATATAATTATAGTCAGCTAATTTTAGTTTCGCAACAAATTAAATATCAAATTAAGTGGAAGAACAAGTCAAATTATTGTTCAAAATGATGATGCACAAAATAAGAAGATGTTCCTTGATTTCATGAGTAACAAACATATATAAAAGATTACTGAAGTTCTCTGAGAAGTTAAAAGGAGCAAGATGAACTAAAACTCAAAATAACAAAGTAGCTCCTTGACTTCATGAGTAACAATATAACATATTAAAGAGTATTGGAAGTTCTCTGAGAAGAAGAGACTTAAAAGAGTACGATGAACGCGAACGACAAGCCAATAGTATAACTAACCACGTTCTACTTCCCCACAAACTATAATCACTTAGCATAAGCAAGAAACTCGTGCACTCAACATTCAATTCCACCAACTCGGCTTCTGAAAACATCAAGCCCCATCTCTGTAGGATCAGTTGCTTGCAGCTCTACCTGGAAACCGTCAAGCTCTCTCTTGAACCTGTCTTTGGAGCTTGCATAAATCATCTTGCTTCTCACTCTTGCCGTGTCAGGTGACCTTTAACAATTGATTCAACAAGACACACAAAAAGTCACGCCAGCTGGCAAAGAGTAACAGGGGAACAATGGAAGTCTAAAGGGCAGCCCGGTGCACTAAGCTCCCGCTATGCGCGGGGTCCGGGAAAGGGCCGGACCACAAGGTTCTATTGTACGCAGCCTTACCCTGGATTTCAGCAAGAGGCTGTTTCCACGGCTCGAACCCGTGACTTCCTGGTCACATGGCAACAACTTTACCAGTTACGCCAAGGCTCCCATTTCGTAAGACGATGGAAGTCTAAATCACTATTTTTTTTTTGTGGAGAATGGTAAGATTTACTATATTTAATAAGAAATTACCAAGCAATGAAGAATATTCTGCTCTTCTGGACGTTTTCTTCAGTCGTGAAATCAAAGTCGTAGACAGCATATCGACACTCATCAGCAGGGAGGCCTGCAGTGAAATCCTCATAGCTTTCAGTTGGTTCACCAAGCTTTTCCACAACAACTTGCTTTTGCTTCTCTTCAATCTTATAGATGATGAACCGGTGAGTTCTTTTTGCCTTCAACTCTAAAAACTTCAGCTTGCAATCATCATGCACAGCCATCCCTGATGCTGCGTTAGCCTACAATTTGGTACAACATACAACATTACCCCAAACGTAATATAAGGCAACACATTGAACAGAAATACAGGGAACAATAATGGGATAAATACCCTATCTAGATCAACAAATTTGTCTTGCGCCTATAAATCATTAGGTTAAAATTATCCAACTAGTCTAATCACTCTTCCAGATATTCCTCCCCTTAAAGAAAAAAGAATCAACAAATAGAAGAGCAAAGAAAGGACCCAAAGCCTCCAGTATTTCAGATTTTTCAAGTCTTATTCATTTCTTCTAGAATTTACAATTCCCACTTGAAAGTCCTCCATCAAATGATTGTGAAGAAAACACATACAAGAGAGATAGCAATTGCATTTCCAACATAACCAAAATTAGGTTGGTTATTCTTCAATTCTTCTGCCTCAAAAGAGCAGAATACGTTATTTTTTGATGTTAGTGAAAAGACCACAATACATAAGTCAAAAGATGATTTCTTTTTCTTTTACTTTTTTCTTAGTGACAAAAAATGAAGATGGCAGAAAAAACTCGTCCACAAGTAGATATCGAAATTGCCATAGAAGCTGAGGCTAATTTGGAATTAGTTTCTCATTACCACCTAGAGAGAGGAGAAACAAAAAAAAAAAAAGAAAAAAAAAAGGCAGACAGAGGCATCCACCTGTGAGACTTTACTATCACATCAATGAAATTAGTACAAATTTCAAATGTAACTTCCAAGGTACAAGTGTTCCAGTACCAGAAATATCGAATAGTCAAGGCCAATGTCGTTCCAAAAATTTCAAGTCAGAATAAAGCTATAGATTCTTTTTTATTCGAACCTCATAAAAGTCAAACAACAGAATAAAGTACAGGTAGAAACTTAGTAAGTGTTTGGACACACATGATTTGCAAATCAACGGCTGTTTTACAATTTGTCAATTATTTCAAGTTCAGCTTTAAATATAGAATCTAACGTCGAAAAACTAGTTTGAGAAGTATTTCAAGTGAAATAATGATTTTAACTCACAAGATATCAATTCTTTTTTCCAAGTGAAATTCACAAATATTCATTTTTTATCTTCAACCAAATATAGTTCAAATGGAGCTTTATAGCCCCAATCCGAGCAAGAAATTTATCCAATAAACCGTAAATTTTATCTCTCGACATCTCCTATTTTGGAACCTGAGATTTACCCTAAACTTTCAAAATAGGCAGAAGTCCTACCAAGGATAATATCTACATGCCTAGACATAGAAAAGTTACATAATGAAACCCACAAGGGAAGAAAAGTTACATAGTCAAACCCACACGGGAAGACTGTGCATGCAGGACAGGCCTTTTGAAATATGTGGTATTAAATAAGCCATACCATTAGTGTGACCGTAAAAATTTTGAAATTTGTGGTCTACTGGTCTTAAACATGCCATAGCATTTGTGTGGTTACAAATGCTTCCTATTTACGGACTAATAGGGAAATAGTGTCAATCTTTTTGAAACGGAGAGAATATCATTTTTTGGGAGAATTCCTAGCCTCAGTATATGTTGTCAAAACAACACATGTTTGTCCAAACGGCAGACTACATAAGTTTGCAGCCGCAGGTTCAATGCAGTCAAACAAAAGACAGTTAAAGATCATTCAAGTAAAGCAAAGACATTCCTTTATGCAATTATGCTTTTCAAAGAAGTTACTTAGAGCAAAGGAATCCATCAACTCCAGATTGCATGATATATTGATACTTGACAACGCATTACAAAAATCAAGTCAGTTAAAGTAACATAAGATTTGATTGCAAAAATACAACTGAAATACAACTCATATAAGACATTAGCAAAGCTGCTCATCAAAGGAGGAACAGATGGTTAGTG